AGGTGTGCAGGCTTTTCGCAGATGTTAGTTTAATTATTACTCTCACGGATCCTGGACTTTGATCATTTTAAGGTAACCACAGATCGATTTAAGCAGAAAATTGGACAACCCTGGAGCAGCACTCAAAGGACCTTGCGTATGGGGGAGATGGGAAGCCCCTCCCCGGTGCTCTGATTTTGGTCAGGCAAAAGTGCAATGATTTCTCCTTCACCCCCCACTGTCTTCCCACCCTCACCTAGGGCTTTCTAGAAAGCACTTTGAGAACAGGAGGCTGTCTTTAATTTTGTGCAAAGGTGAAGCTGTGGCTGCAGGGAGCAGGGCTTTGGGGCTGGGTCACTTCAGTAACACTTCCCACATGACTTTATCAATGGGTGGGCCACGAAAACCTAGCCTGTGTTTTTGTACACCCCACCCCCAAACCACCCAACCTGCCCAAGTGTTAGTTTTTCAAAGCCGGAGAAGTTTCAAAGGCCTGAACCCAACACAGGGGCCTTTCTTCACGCTTTGATTTTCTGCCCATTGAGTGTTTGTCAGTGAGTTCGTGTTTCACCTCCTCTGCAGCCAGCATATCCCAGGAAGTCCCCGAAGGTCTAGAAAGTTAATTGATCCTTGATTAAAAGAAGGAGAAATGCTTGAGTTTGGGTCTGGGTCTCTCACCAGACTTTTTTGTTTTTTTGGATTTTTTTTTTTTTTTTTTTGTCCTGCTTTGCAAAAATCTCGTAATGTACCTTAACCTAAATTTCAGGTTTCGGATATTGGCTTCAGAGTTTTGATTAAATTAGATACCTAGCACATGTGTGGTGCACAGTGAATGTTCAGTGTACATGAGTCAGTGCTGTTGCCTCGACTGTTTCCAGTAGTGCCCTGTTGTCTTCAGAAGCCATGAGATTTGCCGAGCATCGGTTAGTTTATTAACTCTCGTAGGTGCTTCATGCTCTGTTTTAAGTGACTCACTTACTTTTGAAAGCACCCAAGATCATCTGAAACCTGGCCAGCTTCATCACTTCCTTGCAAAGTGACTCTAGTCACTTTAATCTCTATGAACCTTCAGGTGGCTTAACATGTTAGTTTTTAATGGCTGTTTCTCCTGTCAGCCTTTGGGCCACTTGAAGGTTGGAACTTGGCCTCCTTTGTCTCAGCAGCCTCGTTAGCACCCAGGCCAGAGTAGGAGCCTTGTCTGTCAGCAAGCATAGTTTATGTGGGGACCCTCGACACAGTTTAGGTGGCGAATAGTTGTTTCGTAAATGTCACCTGTTAATATTATTCTCTGTGCTGTTTTTCCCTTTCTTCCCTTCATTATCTACTTGTATATCTCTTCCAGCTCTATAGCAAAGCTTAAAACTGTATTCTGTAATAGTTATCAGTTTTGTGACTGCCAGTATTGGAATCTCTAAACTGCAGATTTTTCATAAGTGCTTAGCCCCTGGGCTTCAGAAACCTCTCTTCATATATAAAGGTCTACTCAAGCCTCCCACGCCCTGTGGGACACCTTTAGTGTCACTAGTAGAGCAGCCTTTTGTGCCTTTGTTGTACTCTTATATATACATCAGTCATCCCATGAGAACTATTTTAGTGCACTTGTTTTTGTGACTTTCTTACAACACTGTGAACTTCTCAAGGGCTATTACTATGATGTATCCATAGTACATTCTAGTACCTCTAGAATCCCACTGGAATTTTCCTGAAATGAAATGATAAGGGACTATAGTGGCTGCTATTAAAAATGGTGCCAGTGTTGGAAACGGAGACTGTGCTTTGGAGAAGAACATCCTGTTTTCTGTGTCCTGGAGAGGCAAGGCAGAGTATTGTGTCTCTGGAGGACTAGCTGCCCAGTTGGGGGAATGTTTGTGCTTTTTCCATCAACTGCAGGGCATCTGCGGTTACTCTCCTCCTGAATCAAAGGCAAGATTTGATTGGCATCACCCACAATAATCCTGCAAGTTTGTAGGGGAGAAAGAAAAGGGCACTGGCTTTTCTAAATGCCATCTGCATGCCTTTTCCAGAAAATAAACTGGACATATTCAGCTCCAAGTTCTTGTCTGTTTGTGGTCATCACCCACATAATCAGAACTGGAAACCCTCCCCCTGCCCATAGGCAAAGAAGGAAGAAAAAGGACTGGGACTGTTCCCAGTTTGAGGGAGGGCAAAGAACTCCCCAGACAGATTTTCTTCCCTAGTCATCTCTGGGGGACCTTTTTTTCCCCTTCTCCCTATTCACATTAATTGAGTGTCCACAGTGGGCCCCAGACTCCGTGCCGACATTACCCAGTGCTGTGGCCTTGACTTTCTTCCAACTGAAACGTCCTGGACTGACTCTGAGTGTATGTGTCCTCCCCTAATGGAGCGTAAGCTCCCTGAGGCCAGGATCTGGGTCACCTCTGTCTGTATTCCTTGTACTTAACATATATGTAGTAGTTAAGACTTGATAAATATTTGTTGCATAAACAAATGAGTGCACACATGAACTTACAATATCATCCCCACATCTAAAAGTTAGATTTCATTCTTCCCACTGAAAGGATGAGAAAAAGAGCTTTGGAGATGTGAAATAACTTACTCCAGTAGTGAGGAGCAGTGTTAAGATCATTAACCCAGTTCTGTCTAACTCCAAAGCTCTTTTATATGTGCTTTATTGTCCATAGAAACATATGTTTTACAGGCCTATCATGTGAACACTATTAAAAGGAGAAGCTGAGGGCCTGAGAGTGTAGCACAAATGTACGGAACTTGGGGTCTGTTCCCTTCCTGAGTTTATTAGCAACGCTTTGGCTCCTAGGCACCGCAGAGGCTGCAGCTGAACTTTTTTTACCATGATACGTGGAGCTTTGAAAGCAGACTATTAATATCATACTGCTGGCTTCTCCGCTACTTCTGATAGCCAACTTGGTCACATTTCAAAAGGTTTGAGCAGTGGCACGAAGAAGATGGTTTGGGCCCATGTGACAGCTCTCCTAGGGCCCCAGCCCCAAAAGATCAGCTGACTTCTCTTGCCATTTCCAAGCCAGAACACTCATCCACTGCCTACCCCAACCCCCTCTTCCATTGCAGACCTAATGGCTAGTGCCTTTCCAGGGCCCCTCTGTGTTTACTTTGAGAAGGTCAGGCACAATACTGTGGTGTGTTGCTGTTCTTTCTTTTCAAAGCACTAGTATGCATTTGATAAAGTAAATTGTTGTTCTAGCAGGAAGCAGTTAGGGGGTCACAAAATAAATAGCCGTAGAATTCAAATAAATCTAAAGAATAAAACCAAATAAATCCATGTGTGTATGCACAGTGATACATAAATACACTTTTTAGAAAGTGAGCATTTTTATCGCTGCCAGTCTGGACCAGAGTAATTGAAAAATTGTGGAGTTCATGGTACATTTTTTTAGAGGCGGTCTGGGGCTTTGAGCAACATGATGTGAATTTAGTTCTTTTGGAAAAACATGAAAATGGAATTTTATCTTTTAAGCAACCGCTTATCTCGGGATTTTTCAGCTAATGAAATTCACATTTGAATGAAACCAATTTGCAAAGTTAAATTGGGGATTTAGGCATTTGGAGGGTGGACTAAGAGGCCCTGAATGAGCTAAATACTCTCTCTAAGTCTCTGTTCTCTCACTTGATTGAACGTGGGTGATGACGGTGCTTAAATGATGCTTCAATGCGAAAATGGATCTAAAGTACCTGACACATGGTGAGTGCTATTACCAAGGTGTCTTCTGTGGTTTTCTCTAGTCCTGAGATTCAGTCAAAGTCCTAGTCTTTTTACTTTGTGAAGTGGCATTAGAGCTTGGTGTTGCTCTTGGGTAGCAGGGGAGGAAGGGCTAATTCTGTCTAAATGACTAGTGTGAACCAGCACAGTGTCTCTGTGTGCTGTCTTCTTGGAGTGGGAGTGCAGGAAGCAGCAGAGCGTGACGCCGGAGAACTGTCCAGGTCATGGGAACTCCTAAGGCTGAACTTAGAGACTTTATCTTACCCCATGCAATGAGGAGTCTTTGAAGAGGCTTTAGCAAGCCAGTGGCATGCCAGTGGGCAGGGCCCTTCAGGAAGCAAACTGGTACATATAGGTAGGAGGCCAAGGGGCCAGGACACTGATTAGGAGGCTGTTGGAGTGTCTAAGCAAGAGTTATTGTGGGCCTTCACTTTTTGCCCCTGGGTTCTGAGGACTTTTCCTGGCAGGTGATGGGCTCCATTTGCCACGACCTTTGAGACATGGCATCTGAGCTGGCCACTGATAACCGGCAGCAGCTGCAAGAGCTGCCTGGTGCTCCCGGCTGCCCCCGGGCTCCTGTCCAGGTCTGCAGGCAGCAGGGCTGAGCTCAGCTCTGCTCAGTCTTGTTAACTCTTTGAACAGCGAAAGAAAAGGCTTGAAATGGCATTCATTGGGCAGCTACTCTGTGCCAGCTACTGTGCTAGAGGTTTTATGTGCTTTGATCTCACTTAGTCATCACCACAGCTCATTTTACCGTGGGGAAAGTGAGGCTCAAGGAGATGGAGTGTGGGGACCAGAGGTCACACCACTAGGAAGTGGTAAATCTAGACTCAAATCCAGGTTATCTGACTCTGAGGCTGTGCAGCATAGCCTTAGGATGCACTTCTCAAAGGGAAGATGATTAAGACCTTAAAGTGAATGGCTTTGGAGACATCATGGGATATCATTAGATTCGGGGCTATACTAGTAATTATGTGGATGAGGCTTTAATTTTTAGCAGAGTGTTGTAGAACAGAGGGAAACCCCTGCTCCGGCTCTTCCCCTGCCTCCCTCCGAGCTTTTGGGCAAGAGAACAATGCCACCCTCTCCTTAGGGGTGACGAAAGGGGGAGAGGGGATGTGATGCGCCTACCGAGAGCTCTCTCTAGGCTGCAGATTGCTGCAGATGAAAGGAATTAATACCACCATCAGGGTTATTTGGGGTGGTCTTTGCTGTAGGTTGCCACTCTTTGGCTTCCTTGCATTGACAGTTTCTCTTCCCTTGTCTTCTTTTCTGGTATATGCCCTGGTTCCACCTTGACCAGCGAGCCTACCCTTCCTCATCATCGAGACGAGCACCATCAAGCCTTACCACCGAGGGTTTTACTGCAACGATGAGAGCATCAAGTACCCACTGAAAACTGGCGAGACAATAAATGACGCTGTGCTCTGCGCCGTGGGGATCGTCATCGCCATCCTCGCGGTAAGTGTCCGGACTCTGCCCCGGCCGATCCTGTCTGACTTCCTCCTGTGTTATGACATTATAGAACCTGTGAGCCAACAGAGACTGGTACCAAGGAGAATTTCATTTGATTAATACTATTCATTTCATGCAGCCAATACTATCACTAAAAACCAACGTTTCCTGTGAAACATACATTATATGCTAAGCACCCTTCTCAAATATTTCACATGCATTAACCTCACAACAATCCAATGAAGTCAAGATATTCTTATCTTTATTCTACAAATCAAGAAACGGAGATCCACAGAGTAAAAATAACTTGCCCAAGATCATGTGGTTAATAAGTTGTAGAGTTGAGATTTGGACCTGGTTGTCTCTTAGCCCAGAGTTGGAGCTGTGAGCCACTGTGCTATAAAGCTGAGCCCCAGCGAGGGGGAAATACCTCGTCAGCTACTGCAGGCATTTTCTATGTTTTCTCCACACCATTCCTGTGCCGCTATGATAGTGATAACGCCACTGGCATAGTGTTTAGTTCCCTTGGCTGTGGTGCCAAGGTAAATAGGACGTGGAATCCAGAGAAATAGGTTCTAGACCATGGCCTTCCACTAACACGTTGTATACAACCAAGGATTACCACCTTGCTTTATTGCATTGCAATAAGGCATAAAAGATTAGATCAGAGATGTTAAAATAATGTGCAACCTCTGAATCGCTGAGCAGTTTACTCATATGCTGGTCAAAAGTCCAGATTCACATGTCCAGGCCTTTCCTCAAAGGGTACGATCCTCCTTGAGGATAATGCAAAAATGTGCCATGGACTTTGACAAGGACCAGAGTTGTTGTGAGCAATGGTAGCCTCACGGGAATTGGAGTATGGCCTACCTGGGCCCTATGTGGAAGGTCACTGCCCTGTTTTAGATGTGTCCACATGAGGTATGGGAAGGAGAGGGTAATTGAAATCCATTCTTACAATTTGTGAGTTCCACATTCTCACAGCTATCTTTTCCACACCTCTAGTATTTTCTAAGTTTGTTCTTTGCTCTTGAATCCCCACCGTGTGGGTGAAAGGGATAGAGATCATGCCCACCAGGGTCATAAACTCCCATTTTCGGTTCCTGAGTCACCTTTCTGTTGAGCACAGCCTGAAAACTTATCTTTGGCCTGTGTTAAAAGCCAACAAAGAAGGTATTAATAGTTAATATTAAGAATACTTAAATATGAAATAAGTGCTATTATCCCCATTGTACAGAGAGAGAAACTGAATCTCAAAGGAGTTAAAATGGCATGCTCAAAGTCCAAAGCTAGTAAAAAATGGGGTTCCAAGCCTGTGTCTGGCTTATTTCGAAGACCACTTTTCATCTTCCACATTGACATTTCAGGATGGCTAACCTATCCAAAAGAACTGCTCAGGGGGATAGGCAGTCAGCTTATCTTGCCTACTCTGGATCAAATGTAAGCTGCTGATGTTACATGAACCACATTTCATGAAGTTTTCCTTTTGACTTGCCCACACTAGGGGTTGGTTGTAAACTCTGAGACCCCTCTTTGTTTTTTAATAACATCGTAAACCAGGCACACAATCAACAGCTTGAATTTGGGGAGGGGGAAGGGAGGCTAGTAGAATTCTTTCCGACCTTTAAAAGAAAAACAGTCCATTTGGCAACTGTAGTAGTTTCTTCAAGGTGGACTAAGGATCTTTGTGTTCAAAAACTGAAAAATGAAAGGTCGAATTTTACTGTTTGCTACAAATTGACAGTTGTGGGATCGAGTTCTCTAGGAAGAATGGCTTTCCCTGAAAAAGGCGTTTGTCATGGAAGGCAAATGAGTGCACCGTATCTTAGACTAAGGTTTGAACAGGTGTTTTTGACAGTTAGAAGATCAGTTAATTGAATGCTTTGAGGGAGCCGTGTACACCCAGGAGTGTGGTGAGATAAGAGAACACAGGGATGTGCATGTCACCTGCTTTTCTCTCTCTCTTTCCATGGGGTTTTTCCTGGCTTGCCTAGTGGGCTGCCCCCAGTCACAGTGCTGTGGAAAGAGACACTCTTCAGAGTCTCCTAGCTGTGGGAACCAGGACAATCACTGGTTTCTCTAACCCTCATTTTCCTCATCTGTAAAACGGGAATGGCGTTTGGATTCCCTCAAGGGGATTGCTGTGAGAATCAAACACGTGCAATAATTGCTGGCGATGCACTTTGTAGCAGTGGGCTAGCTGGAATGTGCAGATTCTTTTAGATGGGAGTGGTTCTGGTTTCTGACCTGACTCCAGGATGGGCAAAGAAAAATGCTAAAGTAGCTTCTTTGAGATCCACGCGTTTCTTCCCGTCCTTCCTTCTGCAAGCAAACCTCCAGATCAGCAGCTCTTCCCCTGCCGCTTGTCAAGGCTAATCTCCTTCTCCTCGAGGGATGCCAGCATTTTAAAGAAAAATCTGCTTTGGAGAGCTTAGTTGTGTCTTGCCCCTTTGCTCGTGTCATGTTGATGTTTTAATTACAGTGCTTCCTGACCTCCCAGCTTTCCTTGAAACAGTCATGTGCTGTGGCCTTGTTTATAGGATGTCTAACAGCGTTGCTTCCCCATTCCTTACAATGTCAGCAAAATAGGTTTCTAGGTAGTGCTTTCTTATAGTTCAGAGAAACATCAGCCAAGAAATTACTGCAATAATTGTTATCTTTTGTCAGGTGCTACTGTGTGCCAGAGAAACATGTGAACTGTGTTGATGCATTGCCCCCTTGAAGAAACCCCAAGAGCTGGGTATTCTTGTGGTTTTCGGTTGAGCATGGGGTTAAAGGCATATGCTTTGGTTCCCATCTGAACCTCTCTGCTGTGAAACATGTGACTAGTTAATTAACCTCATTGAGCCTCAGCGAATTCATCTGTTAAATGGAGATAGTATCTCTATTTACTAAGATTTTGAGAATTAAATGAGCTAATGTATATAAAGTAACTCAGTGCCTGGCACCTATAGTAATAGTATACTCAGTTGATAGGAACTATTTTTATTATAAATAAGTAAACAGTTGGAATCCACTTGCCCAAGGCCTCTTGGCAGTAGCTCCAGGTCATAGTCCTCAAATTTGGTTCACAATAAATCTCTTTAAAATTAAAAAAATAAATAAATAAGTAGACAGTCAAAAAGTGGTGAAGTGACTTAGCCAGAGGTTGTATCTGGTAAAAATAGAATCAGGAAAGGAACTCCAGCCTTCGGTTACACGTCTCCCACTCTTCCCTTGTATTAATAGTTACTTGGTAGAACCCAAGTCTCTTGACTGTCACCCCTTTTTGCAATAGTACTTTTACCTCCTGATCCAACTGCCCTTGAGCTTCCGCTGGGGGCACATGTGAAATGTGGGCTCCTAATGAAATCTACCAGCCTGCTTACCTGCCACAGCTACCGCGAGTACTCACAGAAGAAAGGAACAGCAGAGACCTCAAAGGCAAAGGGAATCATTCGCTTTGTTGTACTCAATTCGGGAAAAGCGAGACAGCTTAAATGAAAAGACAACAACAGCAACAACACATTTCACACTTTCCCGTGCTGCCTGGCTGTAAGGGCCTGGCTGGCTCCATGCAGGATCTGCTTCTGATCAGAGTGCATGAGTGACAGTCGTGGAGGCTGGAGGGGCACAGAACTGGAAATTGAATCATCCTGCTACTTGCTGTCCTAGGCCTTCCCCTGCCGAATGTCAGGTTTGTTTAAAAAAGTGAGTGTGGCCTTGGCTGGGGCGATGCCCTGGCTCCCCTTTGCATAGGCCCCACAACAAAGGGACGGGGTGGCAGTGCAGGAGATCGGTGTGGTTAGAGATGCAAATCCTCAGAAGTTATGGAGAAAGCAGACACCTTTCCATGGCAGGAGAGATGGAAAAACCTAGTCATTTTGACCTCTTTTTCAGATGTATCTCAGATTCTGGAATTATAGCATAAGAGGAATTCCTTCCAAATCCACAAAGCAAGGGTTCCTATCCCTGCCTTGCAAAGGCTTAATGACTCTAGCAGCAGTGAGATTAGGGGCAAACAGTAAAATATCATCTCCTATCTCGCCTGCTCTCAGTTTTGCCTTGCACTCTACTGAGAAGAGTATTATGGGCAAAGATTTTAATAGGGAAAAAATGTTCAGTATTCTTTTTAAATAAACATGGGCTCAGTGCTTGTCTTGGTCAGACCCAGAAAGCGATTTATATAGATTCTTAATATCTAGGAATTGACAACGCGGGTGAATCATGGGTGAATTCCCCTCTCCCTCGGGCCATAAAAATGCTCCTTTTTTATCCCAGACCCTGCTGGAATCTGACTTCTGTAATAATATTCCTAACTAGAGAAAGAGCTCAGACTTTGCTGTCATCTGACTTAGGTTCGCGTCCCAGCTTCTGTGCTAACTCATTCTGTTACTCGTGCTTCAACCTCAGGCAGGCCACTGAACCCCATGAAGCTATACTTTCCTTTTCTGCGCATTGGTGACAGTAGTTCACCAACTCTACAAGCTTGTTTTGGTTGTCAAATCAAGTGTGTGTGATCAGGGAGAATTATCCTTTTTATTTCTGTAATGTACAGTTTACAAAACGGCCTTTATGTGCACATTCTTATTTGCACCTGGTAGTAATCCTGGGAGGCTGAATGTTGGAGCTAAGTCAACTGGGACTCAAGGATATTAAGTGACTCTTCCATAACTAATTAGTGGCAGGCAAGACTAGGGGTCCTCTGATTCCTGGGGCCTTTTAAGTCATGACCCTACTGCTGCCTTCCGCAGCCTGTCTGCCTTCCCCACTGACTTAACAGCACCTGTAGTGTGTCGAGGACCAGGGACACAGTGGTGAACTCCAGCTCAACGAGCTGCATGTTGTCCCGTGTCACTAAAGTGCCAGTGGCTGCCCCATCTCGAGCAGGCAGATGGCACCTTTAATACATCCTGCCTTGTAGTGTGATTGGTGTACAGGGCTTGTCTCCCCAGCCAGACGTTAGGTTCCTGGAAGACAGAGGCCAGGTCTTTCCCTCTAGCACACAGTAGGCACTGAATAAATAC